CTTGGCTGCGGTTGGGGGTATGCCGAGGGGAGAGGGAGATGAGGTGCAGCTTACGTGGTTGTGCCGGAGGCTTTGGACCCGACATCTGGCAGCAAACTGAAATCTGAGGTTCTCTGATCGCTCGGAAATTTGTCGGCGTTGTGTGGTTCGTGGGCAGGGTTTCTGCTCAGCATCACCTTGTCGTGCTTAGGAAAAACAAAATTGGGTGGCTACACCTGAAGGGTGGCACCTTCAACCTCCTGAATTCTGCATGTGCTTGGCTGGGATTTTCTAAAACGTTATTTTGAGAGCTGGGGGGAAAGATGCCTTCAGCATTGTGGGGGTGAGGGACTGTCGCTGTCCCCTTCCGCGGGCAAAGCTTGTGTTGTGGGCACAAATGAGCGTTGGGTGCCAACGCGCGGATTTGGCGAGCGCCTGTAGGCGACGCGGCAGTGCCCCAAGAGTGGGAAAGTTAATGTTTTCGTGAGTCTAAACAAGGCGGCGTTATCTCCGCTGTCTTGCTGCCATGTGAAGGTTTTGCCTGTTGTCACAGGAGTTAAAGCAAGCTTTGCAGTAACACAAAGATAACAATCCCAGCCCACAGCGTCGCTCTGGTTTGTGCCAAACCTTTTGTAAAGCTTGGGGTAGTTTGTTTTCTCTGTCGAAGCCGTTCTGCAAAATGTGGAGGGCCCTCTTCCCCCAAATCTTGATTTATGTTTTTTCTCGTACATACACCATACAGTTAAAGAAAGTAAGGTAAGAGCCCGAGTGCTGTGGTCCATACCGACCTGCTGGTGAGGAGAAGCTGGCCCTGGTCCATCCTGCCTTGCTGTCGTTGCCCACTTCTCCTGGAAATCCCTCTGACAGCACTTGTCACCGGGCGGGTCCTGCAGGTCTGTCCTCAGTCGTCTTCTCCCTGTTGCTCTGAGCATGCCCCCTCCGAACAAAATCCAGCCCCTGTCTCTCCTCGGGATGTGCAGGCTCCTCTGGAGTTGGTGTCTCTTGTCACAGCTGCCATTCTGGCTCCTCTCTAGGACCTCAATGAACGTCTCACCGTAGGTCAGGCTCAACACAACGCAGATGCTTGTTCCCTGCCTGTGCTTTAGGGCAGGTCCTCGCTTTGCCCAGCCGGGAGCGCAAAGCCGTTGTGCCAGCACAACTCCCCCATGTTTATTGTCCTACAGCTCCCGTCCCGCTGGCTCGTGGAGCGGAGACTCTTCCCTGAACTCCTGCTGCTTCCCCGTGGCTGACAGTCGTCTCTCAGCTCGTGGCTAAGGCAGCTGAGCTTCCAGAGATGCTGCTTTGGTGCTGCCCCTTCCTTCTCCCTTGCACTCCTCCACTACTCCTTCCCTCCTTCCCAAGCTCATCAAAAGTAAATTAATTGTTCCCATTTGCAGGGCTCTGTTCCTGCCCTGCGAGCTCACATCTGTTGTCAGCTCCTGCCCCTGAGTCCTTGGTACCAGCCTGGACTTTTTGTTTTACTTTGGTACAAGCGCTTTCAAGGCTTTCCTTGTGCAGCTCTCGTGAGGATCTCCCCTCAACGCCCCTCTTGTTTGTCCAAGTTCATCCTTAAGCATCTTATCCGAGGTACCAGCTAAAAACATCCCTTGGCAGCAGCTGTGATGCTGCTGTGCCTTGGGCCCTGATTATTTGGTTACTTCCCACTTTTGTGGGGCTTTTTTTTTTTTTCCTGCTTTTCCTTTCATGCTATGCTTGATTCTCTGCCCCCACGGCCTCTCCGTGTTCTCACGCAATGGGAAGTCACAGTCCTGACCAGAAGAGTTTGGTGGTAGTAAAAACGGCGAGTGCACATTGCTTTTGGGTTCCTTTTCCAGCTTTTATATATTTTTAACTCTAAAGCTTCCAAGAATATATAAAAGCTGCTTTTTCCAAGGAGCTCCTTGCGAAGGATGGATGTGGTAGATCAGGGGCTGTATCTTGGTGCTCTGCCCAGGTGAAGGTGCCTGCATTTAACTGGGGGGAGAAGTGCCTTTGTATCCCTTAGATGCGCATCTCTGTTAAGTGTGAAACCCTCAAGTAGGGCAGTTCCTGCCTGGTGTCTCTCCAGCCATGCTGGCATTGGGCTGAGGGTGGTTTCTTGCAGGAGGATTATATAAAATGTCAAGTGTGTGTGGGGAAATTGGCCTTTTTATTCATTATCTTCTATAAATCAGAGTAAGTAGGTGTTGGGCTGGCCTGCAGGGCAGTTGGTGCTTCTGTCTCGGGCTGTGAAGGGATTTTGCCCGAGCGTTGGTGGTCTCGTGGGTGCTCCCACCCTGGGCAGGTGGTCCGTGCCTCTCCCTCTGCACGCTCTTGAGAGGAAATGGCTGCATTTTGCTGTGGATATTTCTTAGCATCTGCATTTTACCATATCTCGATGGATTTTTCTGCACTTCACCATTAGATATTTGTTTCAGATGATGTGAAATGTCCAGTTTAACTGAAGATGCGGCTGTTTCGACAAAGAATTTGATCCTTTCAGAAAAAAAAAAAATAATGCTGGTATTTAAATACGTTGCTCTCGGTATGGATATCTTCCTTCCCGGGACAAGGCTTGTTCTGAGTCGGTCACAGCTGCAGTTGTTGGCCAAGCGCTTCACGACATAAATGTTTCTGCAAGGTAACGCTGTGATAACTCTTTACCTCTGGGAAGTTTCTGTTGTGAATCAAGAGCTTTCTTGCAGGAGGGTCGTCTCATCGGTGCATCCATGTGAGCAGCTCTTAAATGTGATCTACATTGGATGCATCGCGTGCCGGCTGCCTGGAGCTGTTGGTCAGTGGAGCAGGCAGCTGTCCTGAAGCTGAGCAAAAATCTGGGGTGGGCTCAGTTATAAAATTTCCTGTTCCTTGTCTATGTTTCCTCTCTGGTTTAAGCGGAGACAGTCTAAGAGTAATTAAGAAGCCATTCACCCGTTAGATGCAGCCAGTTGCATAATGTGGTTGAAACTCCTTGTACAAAGTGCGTTTTGGACCCAAAGGTGCTTGGTTTTCTTCGTGCGGCTTGTTCGTAGCCTAGGTATTGGTCTAGAATGGATTTTTCCTACTGTGCAATTTGGGTGAATCTTGTTTTATAAATATTAGCTGTAAATCGAGGAGCTAAATTAATTCTGCCTTGGCTGAGGTCCGTGTTCAGCCTTGTGGAAACAGTGGCGGAGGTGATGGTGCAAGCTGCGCTCCTTCCTTATGGCATTTGTCTTGAAGTTGGCTCTGGGTTTTTCTGCTGCATTTGAAGGCTGTGTATACGTTGAATCATTTAAATCAAAGGTTTATATATCTTCCAAGATCTGTTTCATGTTACCTCACAAGATCTGAAATCGGTGCTATCTCTGCTGGTGAATAACATTGCTGAGATCGAAAGAGCATCCAGTGACCAGTGGGTGAATTAGCAGTGGAGTGCTGCATTTTAATTAAGTTGCAGAAAACCTGTTTTGATGGGATGATGATCTGACAGATTATTGAGGCTGGCATTTTGGGGAAAGCTGGCCCTGAATCTTTTTGGGAAGGCAGGCGAGCGCAGCACCGCTCCGGTTGGATTTCCAGCCCTCCGGGCAGAGCGGAGTGTTCCTTGCTCAGCTTCTCGCTCAAACAAACAAACCCCAATCTGCCGTGTAAGCACGTTTAGGGTGAAGGCTGTAAATAACAGTTTCTGGTAACAAATCTTTGGGCTTGTCGTGTTTGTTGCCATAAAAGCTTATTCTAGGACATGGGAGCGGTGTTGGAGTAGCTTGGTTGGAGGGATGAAAAGTACTTTCAGCAAAAAATAGCTAGGAAAGACGTGAGGAGCAACGTTACAGGTGAGAAGCCAGCTGTGGTACTGGTGGAGGCAGCGGCTGTGTGATGCCTGGCTTGGGTCTCAAACCTTTGTCTGTGTGTCCCAGTAGCTGCTGCCAGCAAGGACAGCGGAGGGGACGGAGCCATGGGGAGTAAGGCTGTCCCAAGGGCTGGCTGTCCCTTTGGCCCACCATGATGTTCCTGCCCCAGGTTTGGGGTTGGACGATGTTTCTTGCTCACCCATCGGTCTGTAATGAGACTCGGCGGGTGCCAGCAATGAGCAAGAAGAATTGGTGCCGCTTGTAGGGGCTGTTGGAGGCTCTTTGCTTCATGACGTCAACCGGTTGAAGATTTGACAATCAAACCAAACTGAGCTTTTGCACATATCTTCAACTTTGCTTTCCTGAAGAGGCTGCCTTCTGTGAAAGATCTTCATTTTGACCAAACAACTTGCTAAATTATCCCTCAATATCAGTAGGTCAGCGCAGAGCTCATACGGTCAAAACGTTCCTGGCGCAAGCTTTTAAAGCGAGCTCACTGCGTGCCGGGACTCCTGTACGAGATGGGTGCTGCACCCAGGTTTGCTTGCTTGGTGCTGATTCCTCGTCCGGGATTGAGCCCTTCTGCAGGAAAGGTGTGCGAGAGCACAGGCAAGAGTTGTGTACAGAGAGGAGTCCCGGAAAGCACCAGCGTTTCGTGCCCAGCTTCCCGTATGCGAGCGCGCCATGTCGTTCATGAGCAAGGATTCTCTGCCTTATAATAAGGCTTTCAAATAATTGCATTCAGTATGCTAAAAATGAATTAACCCTGTATTTCTGTGGCTACAATCCTACTTTGGTGGACTCCTTGCCAGAAGTCTGTTGGTGGCCACTGACCCGCTTCTCCGCAGCGGAGAGGAACATTGGAAAAGAGGCAGGTGATAAAATTTAGCAATTGGTTTCCACTAAAAGCATGAGACCTTATTGTTGGCTGGAAAATACTCATGTAGTGGCTTTTCCTTAGGTGTGGTCTAAGGTGCGAATGAGTTTTGTGAAATTCCTGGCTTTATTTCTGGTTGCCTTTGAGCAGGAGGAGATCGCGGAGCTGACGGAGATTGAGTCGCTGCGGTGGGTGGTTTGGGGTTTTTCTGCGACAGATCATGAATGCGGGAGTGGTGTCAGTAAGGTTAAGCTCCCACCAAGGGCTCTGGACCAGGGATGATGCTAACAGCTTCCTGATGGGAAACCTGGACACCAGGAGAGCTGTGAGGTGCAGCCACGCCGCGGGAAGAGGCCCTGCCGAGGTAGGGACAACTGGAAAATGAAGCGAGATAGAGAATTAAGGGATTTGTAGATAAAAACTCTGATTACTAATGCGGCTGGGGTATAGCCGGAGTGGGTGTGACGCAGGGAAGGTGGGAGCCGGATAGAGCTCACGGGCACGTGGAACAAAACCATCTATTGTCACCGTTTCTATATTTAAATCCTCATATTGTGTCGTTAAATTAAGTAAAGAAGCTAATTAGCCTGTGGATGAGCTTACTGCACTACACACACTGTTACTGGCCAACTGAAGAAGAGATTTGATGAAATAATTACATTTGGAACCGAATATGAGGAAGATCAGAGGCGCATTTGGAGTACGACGGGGTGGGAGGTCTGGGTGCGAAGGTCAGTGCTGGCTCAGCAGGGACAGGGAGGGCTTTTTGGGAGAAACCGATCTCTGGAGGAGAAGGGATGGGGGATCCGGGGTCCTTTGTGTGCAGCACAAAAGCTGGTGCCTGGCTGGTGTTAAATCGCACGTCGGAAAGGGCTGTCCAGGCAGCCGGCAGCGCTTATTAAACATGTTACTAAACATTGGTTTATTAATAGGAGACATTTAAGGGGATGTGGAGAAGGTCTCTCCTTGTCTGTAGTAAGTGCCCTCTGGACAGCTATGGATGTAGGTACGTGCGTGGTAAAACCTCCCTGATAAAGCTGCCCATCTTAGAGACCGTTTCAAGCCATTACAGCTTAAAAAAAGGGAGATCCATACATGATGATTCTTAGCAAATATGAATAAGTAGCCTCTAAACTATTAAACGGTAGGTTGCACTGAGTCAGTAGCCAAATGGGGCAATGCTGGACGTTTGGAGACCGGACCAGACATGGACTCTGGGGTGGTTGATTTTTTTTTTTTTTTTCCCCCGTGCATAAGTTTGTGCCATTTTGTGTTTGACCTCTTACCACAGGCGATGCTGATCTTTCTGACTGTAGAGTTGTTCTTGCTGCACAGGAATTGTAGAAATAGCACAGGGTCAACAGCTTTTTGTGTCCTTCCTAAGCCCAAATCTGAGTCAAGGCTTGATGTTACCAAACATGTAGTTTTTGGGAAGAGCTGGAAATGATTTGTAAATTGAACTCTTCCGTTCCAGTCCCCAGTCAGACCGTTGGACTTACCCTTGGATGCGCCGTTGATGGAAATGCTGAAAAAATGCCCAAAAGCAGGCCAATAAATGTTGTTATCAAAATGCAGCTGACATGACTACTTCTACTGGATGATGAATCTGAATTTTTTTTTTTTTTGTCTTTAGCTGCCTTTCCTCATCGACTGAACCTTTTTTACTTGGCCAATGATGTCATACAGAACTGCAAGAGAAAAAATGCGATTGTCTTTCGTGATACGTTTGCGGAAGTGCTTCCTGAAGCTGCTTCGTTAGTGAAGTAAGTAACGGTGTGTTGGAAGGTTGAACGTCTCCAAAAAATGTGGATTTTTCTCCTAATGTCTCAAACTCTCTAGAAACATCAGCAAAATTTCAAGGATTTTGTTGGAATGACTGTGTGGGTTTGAGCTTCTCTACACGGAGAGTGCTAGAGCGGGCGTAAAGCTGGTTTTTAATCTGCGTGGGGGGTCTCGTTTGAGTAGAATTATCACATGAAGTGGTGCGAGGGGCAAGTCTTGCACCGATACGTGCGTGCTCCTGTAGCTCTGCCCTCCCCTGCCTCCTCGTGCTTGTGTGCAGACAGCGGTGGCTTGCGCTGCTGCTGGCGGGGCTGGTGGCAGACTCCGGGAGCTGCTGGCAGTGAGGAGTGGTGTGACAAGACAGGGAGGAGGAGGAGGTCTTCACAGTCTCCAGGGATCTGCCTATGGTCGACCACCATGAGAAGCAGCGTCACAGATGCCAGTCTAATCCCTGCCTGGCTCCTGCAAGCTTCTCTCTGCCTCCTGTGCTGCCGTACCCATCTGCTAAAACATTATTTCAAGGTAACGCATTCTCAAAGGTGGTTTTGTGCTCCGCTGGAAATCGGAGACTTTTAATTTAGTAGAGTAACGTTGGACAAAAAGATCTGATGCTGGCACGTGTCCAGGCGGGGGGAGCCCCGTCCCGTCGTTGCCCTGCTGTGAGGCAGGTTGCCTTACTGCCCTCTGTTTTGGTTTCCAAATACTTTCTCAAGCCAGATGGCCTTTAAGGGGCAGGAAATAGTGAAAATACAAAGCAGCTCCTTGGTAGTAAAGTGATGTTGCCGGTTTGTGTGTCTTTGGAACAGAGTTTGAAGCGGCAGATGGTTGAACGTAACGTGAGGCAGGGAAAAGGTTAAAGTTGGACTGCTCATTAGCTTATATTTAAATGTAAGTTGCCAGAAGAGAAAGTTGAAAATACCATTACTAGATGCCAACAATGAGGAGGAGGACTGAGAAAAAATTCTGGGAGCATCAGCTACCAAAGCAAAAGAGAGAAGGAAAAGCTGCAGAAGAATTGCAAGTTCCCAATCCTTTGATAGCCCCAACAGGCTTTACCAACCCCAGTCCTGTTCCAGAAATTGATATAGGAATGATTTAATAGGTAAAAGTTCTGTGAACTTGCTGTTTCCGCCTTTCAGTGTTTGTGTGCCATGGGGGTGTGACTTGGCTACCGTTTATGGACCCCACTGGAAGATTTTTGTCTCTTCCACATGCACTTCGCTGGCCCTGACAGGTGGTGTCATTCTGTCTGTCCCTCTGCAAAGCTTTGTGTGGCCAGGGACGGCAGTGTCACTCTGTGGCAGAATCTCCATCACCAACCTTCTTCCAGTCAGTTTAAAAAGCCATAAAAGTGGCCAGAAAACACGACTCTCTCCTGCGGCACTGAGCTGGAACATGAATGCAGCAGGGCTCGAAGTCGAACCAGACGGCTGCTCAGGTGGTCTTTTAAAAAGGACCTTCCCAACCCAAACGGTTCTGTGAAGCACGCTTTCTTCCGTAGCTCTGCCTGACAGGGCACCCACCACCCAAGGGTGTGGAGCAGCCCTGTTGCACTGGGTTTGGAGGCCCGCTGCAGTGCCAGCTGCTGCCCGGGTCCCACAGGGAGTGGCGGTGGCAGCTCTGCTTTCCAATTAGAGTTCATTATTCCGAGCTCGAATCCTCTGGGGCAGTCGCCTCTGGTTGTCGGCAGGGTTTGGGCTCGCATGCTGCCCTTGGAGTGCTAAATTTGGGGCGCGTGAACTTTAATGTGGGTTGCTTTGTAGAAAGCGTTCTTCGTTTGGGTGATTAGCAGGGTGACAACTGGTGCGATCGTGTGTTTTTCTTGTCTTATCCCAAGAGTTGTCCCTTGGGTCTCCACCCTTGTGTTGACTTGAAGGTCTAGGGAGAACACACTTTGAGAGTGGTTGCTTGCAGATGTTTTATTTGTCTTTTTTTTTTTTCCTTGAAACAGAAGCACCTGGACAAGATACACTATTTGACATCAGGCTATCTCCTTTTCTTTCTTTCTTTGGAGATTCTTACAGATGATATTGCTTAAGTCCCAAGGCCGATGCTGCTGGGCACAGAGGGGATGTGTGATCAGAGATGAGTGGGAGAGCTCGTCGTCTTGATGAACACCTCTGATCACTGCTATATAGTCACTTCTCTCTGAAGTAGTGACTCCGCTCTGTGAAGAGAGTAATGTTTTATTTCCCCCCCGCCCCCCAGAATAATCACTTTTTTTCCCAGAGCATCCATATAGAAAGCTGCTTTGGAAGAATAACAAATGTTTTTTTTCTTCCAATAAATCCTGTTGGTGGTCCTAGCCCTCTGAAACCTTCTAGTTTTACCCCAAAAAGGCCACGCCTGTGGCCACGATCCATTACGATGTGGAAGTGTGTGTATACTGAATTCCAAGCATGTGGGCTTGCTGCCCTGGTCTCGCTTGGGACCCCTTGCAGTAGAACTAAAGTTGTCGCCGAGAACTTCCCGGTCTGAAGGGTCTTTTGAAGTTTTGATTTAAACACATCATTATCTACATTATTATCCATTCTAAAATCACAAGAAACTACAGTGTGGGGGTAAAGAAAACCCACTATGCTCTTCTTTTTCAGGGATCCATCCGTTTCCAAATCTATCGAAAGAATCTTCAAAATCTGGGAGGACAGAAATGTGTACCCTGAGGAAACCATTTTGGCACTAAAAGAAGCTCTGAGTAAGTTACTCACCCTTTGCATTTCTTGCCTTAAAAACTGATGCGTGAGGTTAAAGAAAATGTTTGCAATCCCTGAGTAAAGTGAGTTTATCGGTTCTTTCTGCATTTGCACCTAGCACAGACTTTAAAGCAGCGAGGTGTTGCACGTGAGCAGCACTGAATTCATCTGCTTCACATTTTTTTGTACCTTTCTAAAGACAGCTCTGAATCCTTTCACGGAAGCTGGAATTATTCCAGCTGAGAGTAAACAGAACATGAAGGTAAAATGGTCCTACAAGTGCTGAACACGGTGCCCTGGTAGAGGGCTTGTGTCCCTTGGCTCTACCTTTGAGTCTGTCTTAGCAATAAGTTGTTTTGACTAATAATATTTGTGGTGTAGTAAAGAGGCTGGAAGCAAAGCTGGAGGGTGAAGTGTCCTCAAGTACTTATGAAAGAACTCTGCTTAAAAGCTGAAATGGATGATGTTAACTGGAAACACGTACAGTCAGTTAAAAACAGAAATTAGCCGATACTCAAATACTTGAAGGAAATCATTTTGCGTTTCTGCTTTACTTGGTTACGTCATTAAGAGCTACAGGTGCTTCAGGAAATCCTCACGTGTGGCTTTGAGAGCCAGTCGTCGTCATGGCAGGAGAAACATGGTGTCTCGGGTTCAGGTTTTGGCACGTGAAAAGGCTTTAGTTGGGTGTTGCAAGTTGGGAAGTGAAGTTCATGCGTGTATTCTGAAATCTCTAATTTTTGTAACATGAAAACAAAAATATTTCAGATTACTCCTAAATTAGATATTGTGGCTATTTTCCTGACTTGCATTACTTGCCTGTTGAATGCTGATTTCATAAAAGCCTACCTAAAGAGCCGAGCGATGTGGTTTTATTTTTAGATGCCTTGTGTTTTTCCTTTTTACTCTGGTCATTACTATGATATTTGAACTGTCTTAGTGTAAGGGCAAACAGAAACTTGATTTAAAACTGGAAGACCATCCCACAGGTTGCTGTATTCCTGAGTAAACTTAGGTTCTCTTGGGCATCCAGCAGCTCATCTCAAGAAGTTGGTCGAGGTATTTTAAAACAAATTTCTGTTCACTCTTTTACCGTGCAACCATATGGCACCAAAAACCAGATTCTTAAAGGAATCCCATAAGGCCAGACTGCAAAAAATGAAATGTTTTCCAGGTACCACTTTCAAAACTCAGAAGCAGCTGAAAGAAACTCTGAACAAACAACCGAATAAGCCGTGGAAGAAATCGCAAAGTAAGGAAACAATGTGAACAATGTGAACTCTCTGAACAGAAATTGCCTTGTTGAGGAACAGAAGAAAGGCGAGCCCAAACTGGGCAGAGTACCTGGACTAAAACATGAGCCAGCATGCGTCTTCCAGGCTTGTAAAGCTCCTTACAGACTAATATGTAAAGCACCAAGGAGTTGTTGCTAGAGAACCACTTTTTAAAAGGAATGAAATATGAAAAAAAAATAAAAATAAAAAATCTTTATGAGACCAGAGGTTATGAACAGCAAAGAGCTAGTGGAACCTCTTGGAAACTGGCGTTAGACTATTCAGAGATGGAGAGAAGACAGACAGAAGCATGTACTTTGGCAGCAGGAGGTGGACACTACCTTCATGCTCAGGAACACATCTTCAACAGCAAACTAGGTGCTAGGATGAAAGAAAACTGGAAGCTGTCAGTGCAGATAACGAACTTTTCCGTCCAACAGTACCAGGAGTGCAGTCTATCAGGAAATGCAATTATAATGTACCGATTTCACTAATCTCATTAGACGCTAAAGCCTTGAATGGTCCGTAAAGCGAGATGGTGGAACATTAGGTGTAAGATGCGGCTTGCGCCCGCCTGTACAAGTGCTGAGATCAGAAGGTTAACAAAAGAGTTTGGAAGCGTTTATTACTTGGCTTAACATCACAAGCTGCTTTCCCAAACAAAAATGTGCTATACTCAGCATGGATGAAGGGCTTAGCATTTTGCTTCTTATCAAATGTTTCTCCTGTTTTGTCCAGAAACCAATGGATTTAGTATCTCTTGACCATGGGTTTTGTTCCCCTGGCTCTGTTAATAAGATGTCAGACTAGAGCTATAAGAGCTTTTAAGGTTGAGATCATGGTTAGGCCTAGTAAGTACCGAAGGGAGGCCCTGTCTGAAGGAAACGCTGAGCTGTGTGTGTCAGCTCTAAGTCTGGCACTTAGGAAATAATATTAATGTTCCTTGTAGAGAGGTATAAACTCATCGGATAAGGCTGTTAGATCAACCCTTGCAGGGACTTGTCTTCCCAACTGTAGAGCTGGAAAAGGTATGCGCAGTAAATTTTTGTAGCATGTTAAATAAAAAGTGATAGTAGAATTTGTTGACCTCAGTCACAACCTAGCTGCACATGACTGTGTCCCCATTAGCTAACGGAAAGCCAGAGCATTGAGGGACATCTGTGTGGAGGGGAAAATAGCCTGCGAGTCTTATGCTGAATTATGTTAAAATATTTTTTTATTAGAACTGCCTTTTGTGACTTAATTTTAGTTGGGCTCCTTGGATTCTTTATACTTTTTCTTTATTCCAACAGCATCCACAAACCCGAAAGCTGCTTTGAAGTCCAAGATCGTTGCTGAATTCAGAGTAAGTCTGCGAGTGGAAATATTCTGTTGCACTAACCTCCGTCCTTGGGCTGTAGCTTACATCCACCAGCGCTATCGGCTTGGTGGGAAGCTTGGGCATTTGGTGTCTTTTTCTTCCTTGGCATAATGCCGGCTTAGACTCCATTGTGAGTTTTGTTAGGCCTGCCACCCCTTCTGTGCGCTGTTAGGGACAAGAAGGCAGCTGGAAAGCATTTGGAGCGGTGTGGAGGCTCCCAACAGAAGCACTCGTTTTCATTTGGGGTAACCTTGTACAAGAGAGCAGTTTGCCTTCTCGGGAGCTGCATGAAAACCACAGGTCCTGCACTTGGAGGGGCTGGCTGTTACGGACGGCGCTGACCGAGGCATACGGTCAGGTCGTCCTAGTGAAGGAGGAGTTTAGGGTGGCTGAGGAGTTGGTAGCAAGAAATTTATCTAAATTAGGTCCCACAAAGGAGTGTGGTGCGTTAATGAAATGCATGGGCATTAGGAGAGTAAAAAAAAAAAGGAAAATAAAAAAGGCCTGTCCCTACTCTTAACTGTCATAGCCAGGAGGCTTGTAGAATTACAGCCCCTGCCTGAGCCCGAGTCTGCTCATCTGTTTGACTTGCGCTTAAAAATCCAGAGTTTCGCCCTGTTCGTTTCTGTGTTAGCTCTTGTTCGGAAATGGCCTTGACCCAGGGCGTTGTTTGTCGCTAAAGCAGGTCTGTGCTGTTAGCTCTGTGCAGCAGGGCTTCTCTTCCGCGGAATGTGATGAGGATGCTTTTCTTGTTTGATTTTTTCAGCCACAGTCTCTCATTGATGAGTTGCTATTATATAAGCGCTCGGAAGACCAGATAGAACTGAAAGAGAAGCAGCTTTCCACTATGAGAGTGGATGTGTGCAGCACTGAAACACTTAAGTGTTTAAAAGGTAAAGACAGCGTATAACGTATGAAACGTGACATAATTGAGAGGCGCACATATGTGTCCTAACAGTTGTAGGAGCTCCTTGGTTCTGTTGAGCCTTAGACCAGAAATCAGACTGTGTCTGTAAAATGCCAAAATTTCAAAGTGCAGTTAAGAACCACCAAGCAGGAGCCTACAACCTTTGTTAATTTGAACCTGTTCGTAGAAACCCACAGATAGAGAGCTCAGACAAAGCGGAAGCGATGAAGCTGTATTTTGTGCTATTCAAATATGCCCTCGTGTATCGTTTAAAAACATGCAGTGTTCTTACTTCAGAACCCCTTAAATAATTTTGGATTTAAGTTAAGGCATCCATTGGCAGCTGCGGTTTGAGAATGCTGGCTCTGAGTCCGATAGCAAGCAGTGCTTATTAGTGGTAAATGAACTGAGTTAATATTGAGCTGTATTAACAGGAAATTTAATTGTAAAACTGCAGATAGCTCTAGCTGTGCTTGGTAATTTGTGACCGCAGTCTTCGAAAATGGTCGTTTACAGCTGAGGTAACTCACAGATGTTGTGAACCCCAACGATGGTAGGAACCCTTGGAATATGGTAATGAAGGAAAAATAAAACTCAAGATTTTTGCCTCTTCCAAAATGAAAGTGTGCTCTCCGGGTAGTTGAAAGAGTAAAATTCTACACTTCTGTGTCTTGAGCTTATTTATCACTAACAACTAGTTTAAAAACAATATATACTGCTAGCAACTTGGCCTCTTTTTGTAATGGATAGCAGTGGGTGAATGGGGCAGTCTGGGGAGCGTACGGCGTGATGCGGTGTCCGTTGTCTGAACTTCCCGGTCGCTGCTGTTGAGGATGCACTTCTGAGAGCTGATTTCCTGTTTGGCAGCTTATTTACATGGTGTTAATCTCCTTGCAGACAAAACGGGAGGAAAGAAGTTCTCCAAGGAGTTTGAAGAAGCAAGTTCAAAGCTGGAAGAGTTTGTAAATGGCTTAGACAAGCAAGTGAAAAATGGCCCCTCTCTCACGGAAGCCCTGGAGAACGCTGGTATATTTTATGAAGCACAGTATAAGGAAGTCAAGGTGGTAGCAAATGTAAGTACGCTTTTCCTCGATCCCCCTCAGGTGGACTGACATCTACCTGCGTTCATTAAGCATCTCAGAAGCTAGAAAATGCATCCTCTCTATTCGCAAATTAAAAAGTTTGGTGTGATAGTTGTACAAACGGTTTCAAAAGAGAGCAGAGCTGAAGGGTTGGGCAAGAAAAGGAGATGCTACAAAAATCCATGGGTCAGAAGCTCAATTCTTACATGTTGCTGGAATTTTGTAGCCCCTCTGGATTTTTAAACTGTGGCAAAATTATAGTTAGTCTTAACAAATCCTGAATTCTGGAAACTGCACAAGTTGTGATTGATACGCGAACTAGATGAACAAACAAAGAAAGAATTCAGTAAAGCATTGTAAAAACAACCAACCCCTCCCAACCCTACCAGAAATCCCCCCAAACCAGCAGCATATTTGTTATAAAACTTCTTTTTTTAAATGAAGATTGTTTTAAGTCATGGGAAAAAACGTTTTATCTTCCCCTTTTTTTGTGGTCCTTGCTCTGCAAGTCACACTGAAAAGCTGAGTTCTTACTGCAGAGTTCTCACTGCAGGGTACAGGTAATTCGAAGTGGATTTCTAAGGCTCTGCGTTAGTCTTGTTACGGAAGCGATTGAGGCACGCTGTCTGCCTATAAAAGACACTCAGTCCGATGTCTGTTCTTTCTTAGGCTTATAAAACATTTGCTAATCGAGTGAGCAATCTAAAGAAAAAGCTAGACCAGTTGAAAGCAACGCTTCCCGATCCAGAGGAATCTCCTGTCCCTTCTCCAAGTATGGATGCCCCATCTCCGACAGGCTCCGAGTCCCCTTTTCAGGGGATGGGGGAGGAGGATAACTCCCGGTCTCCGGTGGCCGGAAGCCGCAAGACTGTATCTCCGGAGCCTGTGACGGATAATCGGGATGTGGAAGACATGGAGCTCTCTGATGTGGAAGATGATTCGTCTAAAATTATCGGTACGTTCTGCGGGAGCAGCAAGAGTAATTGTCCTGTAGAAATTACACTGAGACAAAATGGCCCTTTCAAGCCTCTTTTGGGATGTAGCGGATGTGCAAAGCCCTTGTGGGGCTGCAGGTTGGTGCTGTTGGGTCTTGGTCTCCAGCCCCAGTCCTCTGATGCAATCGGGGAAGTCCCAATCTAGCCATGATTGCTCCCATCTCCCAAACCACTCATCGAATATGTTTTTACATAGCTTATGGGAATCAGACCTAACGTGCCAAATGATGAGGATCCCATTGAAAATCCTGTACCCTGAGTAATTCTTTGGGGACCGAGTGACGGTTCTGGTCTTGTTCTCCCTCTCCCCTGATGCAGTGGAAGAGAGGAAGGAGAAGCAGACTGCTCCAGCTTCGGCACCTGCGAAGACTGAAAGCATCCCCAAAGCGGTGCCGTCTACTGCTGCAGCGGGCACAACTTCAGTGACGGTGACGACACCTGCCCAGACTCCTCCGACTCCTCCAGCTCCAAAGGTGGTGAGCGCAGCGCCCGTCCCTCCGTCGCCAGCGCTTGCGTTGCCCAACCTGGCCAATGTGGACCTGGCAAAGATCAGCTCCATTCTTAGCAGTTTAACTTCTGTAATGAAAAATACAGGTGAGTGCTGAAAGCGATACTAGCCCAGGTGTTTGGTTAATGGAGCTAACAATGGATTTATGTTTTGTAATCTTTTGAAGCTTTAATTGTCTCAAAATAAAAATGAATGAGTTACTACTTAAAAGATCTGGCTCAGTCTCTGTGACACACGACTGTCGGCTTCGTGAGCTTCTCCTTGCTCACGCTCGGTGGAGCTCTGCTGCAGTTGTATCTGTGGAAAACTTGAGCCAAAAACCCGTTCCGTTAATGAAGCAACGTACGTGAGTGGTGTGTGCTTCCGTCCTAGGTGTCAGTCCTGCCTCGAGACCTTCTCCGGGAACCCCGACGAGCCCAACAGCTCTTACTAGTGGCCTGAAGACTCCTGTCATGGGGACTCCATCTGCTCCTACAAATCCGTTGGCAAATATTCTCTCCAAAGTTGAAATAACTCCTGAAAGTATTTTGTCTGCTCTCTCCAAAACCCAGGCTCAGACTGCACCAGCATTGCAAGGTAACAGAGTGGGTCTTCGAGGGAATGGCTGTGTATTTCATGGCAGCGGCCACGCTGAAACGTGCCGCTCTGCTTATCCTGAAGGGAGAAAAACTTCTTTGGAATGTATTACGTCTTTGGCAAATGCAGATGACTTTTCCTCAGGTAGCATACATGTTACAGACCAGTCAATTTTATTACTTTTCTGGACATCGTTGTATTTTTGCCGTGACCAAAGCACACTTATCCGGAACACTTCGTGGAAGGGGGCTGAACGGCACAGGAAACAAGAGAGCTCTTTGTAGTTTCCCCGTGCCTCCGAGAGCATTTTTTTTAGAGCAGAAGATTTCCCAGAGGTGCTGCTCCTGCACCTTGCATGTGTAACCCTGGTCAGTAATGCAGTGGTTTTTTTAACACCTGGCTACAAAGCCAGGATGAGTGATTACCCAAGGTGTTCAGATGTATGTTGCAATTTATATTTATAGATCAGTCTAAGCCCCTGGCAAAAGTGGGTGCTAATGTCAGTACTAATGCAGCAAAATCCACTCGTTTTCCTGGCTAAAACATGAAGTTGTTTTAAGGAACGACATCTGTGGTACAAATGCCAAAACCATTCCCTTGACAGTGGCTCAGGTTGACTTGCCTCGTACCTGAATATCTGAACGCAGCGGTTTTTTTGGTTTTTTTTCAGGTTTGTCATCCTTACTTCAGAGTGTTGCTGGAAATACCGTTCAGTCAAGCGAAACCGCGTCGCAGAGCACTTCAGCATCGCCAGCCAACACGACTGTTCCTTGCTTGAAGGGGAGGAATATTCCTTCCAATACTCAGTCCTTTATATCCAAAAGTTTTGGTTACTCTCCAAACTCATCTACCGCTGAGGTTTCCTCAACTTCAGTTAATAAGGCTCCCGTTGGACATACCCCAGTGCCGTCAAGCTCCAGTTTTAAGCCGCCAACCAATTCCCTGGGATTTTCCAGTTCCCACCCTACCAGTCCCTCTTCCCTTTTGCCAACAGAAACCTCACTGGGTCAATCCTCTGAAATTTCAAAAGCGAAGCTGGAATCTGAACCCCCTTCTCCCAGCCTGGAGATGAAGATACACAATTTTTTGAAGGGAAATCCCGGCTTCAGCGGTCTGAACTTGAATATTCCAATTCTCAGCAGCTTAGGGTCCAGCATTGCAACGGAAAGTCACGCGTCTGACTTCCAGCGTGGTCCTACCAGCACTTCCATGGACAATGTGGACGGAACACCGGTGCGTGATGAGCGAAGCGGGACGCCCACCCAGGACGAGATGATGGATAAGCCGACGTCGAGCAACGTCGACACTATCTCCCTGCTGTCGAAAATCATGAGCCCTGGTTCTTCTACTCCCAGCAGCACGAGGTCACCTCTTCAGAGCCGGGATGACGGATATTCCCAAGAACTTTCCAATTCCGTGCACAGTTACCGGCCCTTCGGCCTTGGCAGAGAGTCTCCAGCTGGCCTGTACAAGCAATCTGCAGACAGCATGGAGATACCCTCCTCTTTAATGGACTCCTCCCAGGAGAAGTTTTACCCAGACACCTCTTTTCAAGAAGACGAAGATTACCGTGACTTCGATTACTCCGGGCCACCGCCATCAGCCATGCTAAACCTGGAGAAGAAGCCGGCCAAGTCTATCTTGAAATCGAGTAAACTCTCTGAAGCTGCAGAGTACCAGCCGGTCCTGTCCAGCTATGGTCAAAGATCGCAGGAGTTTGGTGTGAAGTCATCCTTCCCTCAGTCAATGAGGTCTATTCTTGATCAGAGCGAGAGCTGCGACCCGCTGGCGTCATCTCCGGGGATGTATGGGAGCTACGGCCTCCGGGGAAACGACTCTGCCTCCGACGGCTCCCCTTCGCCCAGCAAGAAGGACACGTTTTTCACACCGGACTCCAATCACAACAACTTACCGAAATCGGTGGTGCACTCTGGCCTCTCGCAGAAGCAATACCCAGACTCGCCCCACTCGATTCCCCACCGCTCGCTTTTCTCTTCTCAGAACGCCCTCTCCAGCCCCGCGGGCAGAGCGCCCACGGCAAGCGTAGAGAAATCATTGGGTTCTTCCATTTCCGCCACGTCGACCATCGAGTTCAAGAACATGCTCAAAAATGCTTCTCGTAAGCCCTCCGAGGAGAAGCATTTTGGCCAGATTTCCAAAAGTGGCTCCGGTGAGGGGGTGGGCCGGAGCTCCCAAGGGAGAGCCGCAGCCGCAGGAGGAGCACTACCGCATAGAGACCAGGGTCTCCTCGTCCTGCTTGGACTTGCCCGACAGCACCGAGGAGAAAGGGGCCCCCATCGAAACGCTGGGTTACCACAACGCCTCGAGCAGGGGGATGTCGGGAGAGCCCATCCAGACCGTGGAGTCCATCCGGGTTCTGGGGAAGGGGAATAGAGGACACGGGCGAGAGGCGAGCCGAGCAGCGGGGTGGTTCGAGATGAGCAGCGGCGGGAGCGCCTTCGATAACGGGCCCTCGGGCACGTCGGAGCTGCCCGGCATGGGGGGATTCCCGGCGCCGTACAAGGAGCACGTGCCGTCCTTCCAGGAGAGCGTCAACAACTTCCGAACAAACAACTTCAGCCCCGCTTTTGAG